CCAAGAACTAGCATCCTTAAGAAATGCTATGACTATATGAAACTTGTCATAAACATCAGGGGAGTTAGCAATTTTGTATGTATGTGTAAGGTGTGTTTTTTATAGCTAACAGATAAACTAATATATTCCCACAATCTATCAGTTTACTTTTTAACACTGGCAATAACTACAAAGCATCATCTATTGTAAAGCAATACAAATTTCAGACAGCTTTCAGCAGTGAAAAGAAGCTAGCAAATTTCTTCCAACTGTTACAGGTATAAAAAGGAAAACTAGATTGGGCGTAACATCTCTTACTTTCTCCCTTCTCTCCTCCCTCTGTCTTACCCAGGTAAACATCTTTTTTTGGTTTTGTAAAGTCCTATTAAGTAGTAGCATGTTAGCAAAGTTTACTACTGTATTCAGAAAGAAAACTGACACTTAAAATTTTGTTTTATACATCACTGATTAGCATAACTTCTGTTTGCTTTGCAACTATTTCACTGAACAAAACTAGTCTGCTCTTCAAATATGTATTAATTAAAGTGTATTGATCTGTACTATCAGCCATCTTCATCCATCTGTAAAACAGAGACACAGCTTTATTACTTGAAAAGAATTTTGTGAAAATTGATGTTTGTACTATTTAAACTCCATGAGTGAAAGACATTAAAAATATAACATTGTGTGAATATGCTACCTACAAAGCTCTACAGTACTAGATTTCAGTGCATTTCTGTATACTCACATGATATGCAAGATGTTGATTTGCTGACTTAGCTGTCTGAAAAAGTGTTGATACCAATTCAGAAAGAGAAGAATAACTGAAAGCCTTGAGAATCAACAAAATTAAAACATCTTTAAACTATCATAATTGATTTAGGGCTAAAAATCTAATTACAAAAAAAATTCTGCAAAAGCCTGTCTAACTATGTTTCTAAACTTCCGGCTAAGTGCTGGATGTAGACCAGTGTGCGTACCACTCAAACTTTTAAGCAACCCCCGCAAATCTTATGCTGGCGGAACGCACAGGAGTAGATGATATCTTTTAAGCTTGCCCACCTCCGCCATCTCTAACTCTTGTCTAAAAAGACTGAAAGAGGAATTTTGAAAATCACTTTCTATAATACTGCAGTGCCAGGATTTGGAGTTAGATATCTACGTTACGTTAGGTACGATACGTTAGGTATCTCCAAGAACAATGCTTCAAAAATATAGAGGAATTGACTAATCATGTCACACTCTGCCCTCTGTTTTACTTGAAGTTGTAGAAGCATCCCAAGATGAATATTCTTGCTATAAAGAGCTTAAGATCTCGTCATAAAACAAAAGGCAGCAGGCACAAAGACAAGAAACAGTGAAAGTATTAGTACAGTTTTACAGTAAAGTACAGGCAGTTTTCTCCGGGCTTTATTGGGATATCCTTTCAAAGAGAATTACCATGTCAGGAACAACATGATAAAACACAATGGGGTTTCTTTTAAAACTTAGTAAGTGGAGATAGAAGTATGTATCATGGATCAGTTCAGGTGGGAGAGAAGAGTACTGTGAGCTGTTAGCATTTTATGAATAGAAAGATTGCATTTGTCAAGATATGATATGCAAGAACTCAGTTAAAAAGCTTAGTTGTATGGAAGGAAGTACTGCTGCTTTTAAAAATATCATGCATAAAGAGCAGAAAGATTTAAATATAGCCTAAGTGCAGTAATACAGCTGAAAATAGCGTCCAGGTGGCAGCTATGAATGACACTTTGGAAGATAATTTGCACAGTTATTGAGAAATGAGATTGCAGGAGATTCTGGGCAGCTCTAACAGTTTGAGTAAGAACTTACAACTGGATGCACAGAGGAGACACAAGCTAATAATTCAGTTAGGTTACAGGAATAGGTTGAACAGAGAACAGACTTGTCAGTTTTCATTATGGAGCTTGTACACATTTGCAGTTGAGATTAACCGAGAAATAATGCTGAACAGGAAAAGAAAAGAAAAAAAATACCCCAGCAAGCTGGAGAGTAAGAAAAGTGAGTCAATAACCAATTGGAGGTACATAACAAATTGGGCTGAAAGGGGTTGCTGGGAAAAAAATGAAGGGATCAGATTAGCGTAGAAGAGAAGACATCAGGCATCAGACGGTAACAGAGGAATAGGCCCAACAGAAAAAGAGAGAATGCTTTCATAGAGCAAAGAGACAAAAATATTTTTGGGGGTATTTTTTGTAGTAGATCCCTCTATAAGGTAGTTGTATATTCATATGACTACAACTTCATGTAACTAGGGATAAAGATGATATATACCACAAATATTAAATTATTCTATAGGAGAGAAGAAATTAAAAGGTAAAGGATAGACCTAAATAATAACAAATCTTAACATTTTCTTCATTATGTAAAGAATGAACACATATCCTTTTCTGCATTCATTATTGTTGTTTCAAACTTCTGTAACATTTCTGGCTTACTCATCTTCAATAATTACATCCAGTGCAGTCCGAAATTATTTTTCAGTCAGTCACAATTTTGGTGTAGCAAAGGAAAAAGTGGAGAAAAAGGAAAAAACAGTTTTATTTGATTCTCCCCCTCCCCACCCCCTTCAATATTCTTAGCAAGAAAGAAGCCAGTATTCTTAGTGCTGCCTTTGACAATCACTCATTAATGACTTTTGTGTATCCTGTTTAATTAAAAAAAAAAAAAAAAAACACTGTGATCTGACAATTGGTCTTGCAGCCAACTGAAACATACGATGTCACAAGCAACAGTTTTGTAGCAGTGCTATTCAAATTTAGTTAATAAAGTTTCAATGGTAGCATGCCTGTATATTCTTTGAATAAGCCTATGTAGCAATTTCAAAAATCCTTTTGGGTGTAAGCTTGGGAGAAAATATTTCTAGTATCATCTAAAAGCAGTGATATATACAGCAGTCATATAGATTTTTCTTTAGGGTGTTATTATTAACCCTAAAATACTTGAAGTGGATCACATTTTTATATATCTTATCTGAAATATTTTTTCAATAATAAAGTATAATTTTTAAATTATTGCTTTGAAGTGTACCTTCTGGCTGCATACCTCAAATGTAGCTGTTAAAAGAAATAGCATGACTAAAAGGAAATCGTATAAGTCTTTAAAGTGATCTGACTATTTTTGACTGGTATGCTTATTAAACGTAGATTAAAAGAATGGCCTTTCACAATTATGGTCTACAGTCAGCCACTGATGTTTAAAATGCTATTAAAATTGGAATACAACTGGAAAAATCTATGATTTCAGAAAAACAGGTCTAAAATAATTTAAATAGCATTTTCAGTACTACATAATGCATGCTGACAGAGCATGGTGTGAATTTAGTGTCTGCCAAATAAGCTATAATTACCCATTTTCTTATTAGCTATATAGAATACAATGACTAAACGCTATGACCAAAAATTGTTGACTTGTCTATGCCTGAGACTTTTGTCATCTTCAGTTTGGGAGTTCAGAAGGGGATATCTACAAGATAAACCTTCTTGGATCATAGCTGTGCTTCAGGCATGCTTTGAGCAAGCTGCATGCTGGTCCTCAGTCTTGAATGCAGAGATTACTTCAAGTGGGCTTACTCATATGGTGGAGCAAAAATACACATTTATACACACATACTTGGTACTTGAGCTTGCAGGTTGCATGTACATTAGATTGTGCATGGAAAAATGGATGTGAAAAAATTGAGGTCAAAGATGAATGTTTTGCTTGTAGGTCCATTCTGTTGTTGTTGTACAGGGGATTTATCCAGATAATATTCATCAGTGTAAATGATAGTTACATGTGTCAGTGAGCAAAGAGACTCCAGTGGAAGTGGTCTTTTAGAGCACGCACCATATTGGCATTCTTTTCTTTCTGAGATGAATTATGAACTAAAACAAAGGGATTCAGTAAATCAGAAATCTGCTCAAACACTGTGCAACAGGTGTTCTAAGTCTTAAAATCCACTGTAGAATTCAGTGGCCAAACTGATGCTAATATAAAAGAGCAAGAGTTAAATCTCCAGAACATGGGCTATCTTAATTTATAATACAGTCAATGAGCAGCTGAATAGGTCTTATGCTTTTGCAGCTTTCTCATCTTAAATGTTGTTTCCTTTTGCTTCCTCACTTGTGCTGGACCTTTAAAATATAATAAACACACACACACACACAAAAATTACTGGAGGTGAATTTAACGCATAGGAAGATGGAGCTTTGAAGGTTACTTTTCAGTAGACGTTAGAACCAAAAGTACTGTGTTCAGGACCAGTCGAACACATGATAAAGAAAATGTCTTTCCATTTTAATTATTTTTAGCTATATTGTGGGCGTTCTTGCAGCCATGTCCTTGAATAACCATTTCTTAACTAAAATGACACAATTCTGTAGCTAGTGATCCATGACTTTAAATATTTGGAAGGGCTATTGATTCACTGAACTGGAAGAAATTAAAGACGTTGAGGCAGATTTTCCGAAACAGAATTATGGTTTTTATGAGTTATATTTGATTATGTATATTCTCTTTACTGTTGAAATAAAACAAAACAGGCGCATGTAATACAGCATTCAGTTTATCTGTAAAAGACTTAACTGAACATTGGTGGTCTTGTTCAAATCAGCTCCATGTACTACTAAAAGAGAGCTGCTAGCACCTACAGCATCTCCTCTTGTTCCCATGCCCTAGTTCTCTGCATGTACCTATTTCTGTTTGCGTTAGTCATTCTCTCCAGGTAAATTGTCCATAAGACCAGTGATTCCATCAGCAAATTATCCAGAAAATGCCGTCAGTGCACATGGTGACATTTGTGCCACTGGTGGATTTGTTGCTCTTTCAGTGGTCTAATTAAATTGGCAGTGATCTCCAGTGCCTAGTGTTGTTGTCTCCCCTTCTTTGGCGCCTTAGTTCAGACTTTGCCTTTTCTCCATCCTTTTAACTGAATATCAAATGCATTATTGATTGCTCCTCTTCCACCCTCCCCACTTCCACTCCCCTCAACTTTTTAAAATCTTTTTTTTGATTGGCAGTATCACCCAGACAAGCAGAGCGCGGATGTGTCAGCAGGAGAAGTGGAGGAGCGCGTGCAGAGGTTCATCGAAATTGATCAAGCGTGGAAAATTCTAGGGAACGAGGAGACAAAAAAAGAGTATGACCTGCAGCAGCGCGGTAGGTTCCTGCCAAGGAGCGCTGTAGTGGCAGCAGCTCTTTAAAGCAGGGTCTAGGCGTAGTAGTTAGATGGTATTTTAAAATGCTGTTTATTGCTGAACCAAATGTTTCGTTTGCTTTTGTCCTACTTTCACATGTGGATACATTATTTATAGCTTTTGCTACACATACATTACTTAGTGAAAACATTGACTTACTTCCAACAGAACATTAGGTTGGTGGTATTCCTAATAATTTTAATGAATGTGAAAGACCAATTGCAGAGCTTAGCCCTGTCCTTTATTAAAGCAGCTTCCTTAAGTGTTCTTAATTCCTTAAATTTAAGTCCTATACTGTATTTTGTTGCAATATTTTAGACATAGATATTATTCAGTTTATATCTAGTGTTCAATGCATATGGCTTTATAAGCACTTCAGAATCATTAAGGCAGATTCTTTGTGTGTGTGTTAGGGAAGCTTTCATAATTCATCTGTAATCTAAACTTGCCTTTTTAAAGCAGGTTTATAAATAATATTCCAATATAACACATTAACTAGGCAGCTCAAGCATGCCTTTCTTTTTATACCTCTCAGAAAAGAGCTTCTTAAAACAGTGACAGGCTGTTGTGAGAAAGAAAGGGGGAAATGTAGGTCAGGTCTGTCACACATGGACTACCATTACATGAAGTGATAGGCTGTCTTTCTGCTCTGGCCTCAGGATAGGAGTCCCTCAGCCTTCCATTAGAACCTTCAATAAATGTATATCCACCCTACATGTTAATGGGGGGAGTCAATAATAGTGTATCGCCTGTGGGGAAAACACTCAGTCGCACTCTGCAGTAACACACTCGGGTCCAGCATTGACGTGTAGCCACCACCACTTTTGAATGCGTCTGATAAAAGCCCACTGTCTCTGCAGCTTGTTATTGAATTCTCTTCCATTGTACATTGGCACACCATCAGACCTTTCTCTCTTGTGCTGATTTTTAACTCCCCTGCCACTGTGGATACCAGAACTTTGAGAGACAAAGGCTCAGTCATTCTAGCAGATACGCATCCCTGCACGATGAAAAGGAGGATATATAATTGTATCTACTCCGTATGAATTCTCTAGTTAAATAATGTTATATTTCAGACTTTGTGTAGGGTTTGGAAAAGAGGGTGGAGGGGTGAAAAAAGGATTTATTGAACAAATATTTTTAAAATTGAAAAAATTGGATTTGGTGCTAATTTCTTCTCTCTAATGTAAACAGTATTGAATTATCATCTCATGATTATAATTATCTTTTTGAATTATCATCTCAAGCTTATTTTTAAAAATTGATTTAATGCCAGAACAGGAATTTCTGCTACCCTCTCATTTTGTTGCACTCTCAGCTTTGTAAGTATCAGCTGTGTCTTCCACTTTCACAAACTGTGCATGTGCAGGAAAAATGGAATATTTTCATTCAGTTATAAGTCTTTTACAGATGTAGCGACATTTACCTAAAGCTTAAATACTGACCATGAAGTGTTAATTTTCGTGGGTCAACTTTATCCAATGAGGTCAAGAAAATTGCCTCAAGAATTAATAATAATCTACTTTGTTTTTCCATGGTAGTAAAGGATCTTACTCTAAACTAGTAAGTTTAGAGCAGAACTAAACTTCAGCAGAATTTATGCTATGGTATTTTAAAAGTTATCTGTATTTACTGAGATTCTTTTGCATCCAGGTGATTTTTCCTTAAGAGCCTTCTCAATACTGTAAAAATACTTAGTAAAAAAACAAATTGTTCATTTGAGTGCTCCTTTGACACTCAACTGTGTATTTCGAAAATGGGATATGTGTTCATATAGAACGTCCTATTCACAGAGGACCCAGTGTTTCAAGCTAACCAAAACATGTAACGTGTATGTACAGTGTTGCTGCATTCTTTGCAGCATGTTCACAAGGAGCCGAATGACGGTGAAATAAACTCTAGTTGTCTGACTGCCTGTCAGTTACTTCTGAAATCACGATTGTAGACCAATTCAAGGACACTGCTGTAAATGCCCATGGAAACAAAGGAACTAAGCGGCTACAGGAAACAGTGGAGAGAGAGAGAAAATATAGCTGGTCAGTAAGATTTTAAAGCCTAGGAAGCAGGACCTGAAGGATGCCAGTGTGCACATGCGGCAGCCAGTGAAGAAGATGTCCTTTGTACTGTAGTTTTTTCCCATTGCACAGATTGTTTATTTGTGTGTCTCTTATTGTATTACCTAATCCTTAGTTCCTTGGCTCAAAAATTAGTGGCCAGAGAAGTTCTGCAACTCTATGGGGGCTCCATGATTTTTTTTTTTTTTTTTTGGAATCATTGTGAACAACAAGTGAATGTGCTTTCGTATCTTAAATAGTTTTCTCCGAAGGTCTAGTAATTTTCTGTGCCTTCTGGACACAGTACTAAAGAGCAACAGACAAACCTCAAACTGTTTAGAGGTTTGGCTCAGATAATTATCCAAACCTTCCTCGTCTGGAAACCTTACAAGAACTGCCTTTTTTGTATGTTTTGTGAATTTTTTTCTAACTCCTTGTTTTGTCATACTGGTAATGACATAAGAATACCCTTTTATCTTTTGCTTCTAGTCTGTGAAAAATCTGTTGGATGGGAAGAAAGCCATATCACAATTTACCTGTTATAAAGGGACTTTTTTTCTTCAACGGATTTTCATCTTAAGGATTTTCCATTGTTCATTTGGTTTCCCATTTAGAAAAGATGAATATGCAGTTAAAAACAAAAGTCTTACAGTAATAATTACCAAATGTTTTTTAGTGAGTTCAGCTTGTAAACAATCTAGTTTATAGTTTTCGTATCAGAAGTTACCTGAGGCCTGAAAGTTTGATTTGTTGCACTTGAAAGAATAAGCAATTTTTCATAGAATCAGAGAACCATGCAGGTTGGAAGGGACCTCCACAGGTCATCTAGTTCAATCTCCTGCTCAAAGCAAGTCCAGTTAGGTGCTCAGACCTTGTCCGGTCTGATCTTAAATTATCCCCAAAGATGGGGATTCCACAAGTGCTGTGAGCAGCCTGTTCCAGTGTTTGAACAACCTCGGGTGAAAAATGTTTTCTGTATATCAAGTCAGAATTTCCCTTTTTGCAGCTTGTGCCTTTTACCTCTTGTCCCTCCACTGTGTGCCTCTTGAGAAGTCTTCTCCACAGCCTCACAATAGGTAGCTGTGGACAATGAGATGCCCCCTTAGGCAAGTTCAGTTCTCTCAGCCTCTTCCTGTATGTCATGTGCCCCAGCGCCGATCACATTGATAGTCCACGGGACTCACTCCAGTATGTCAGTGTCTTCTACTGGTGAGCCCAAAATTGGACGCAGTACTCCAGATGCTCTCATAAGTGCTGAGTAGAGGGGAAACAAATCACTTCCTTTGACCTGCTGGCTACACTCCTACTAATACAGCCTGGCATGTGGTATACAGCCTAGTATATGGTTGGCCTTTGCCAGAAGGGTGCGTTGCTGATTTCTGTTCAACCTATTGTCCACCAGGACCCCTGGGTCCTTTTCTGCAAAGCTATTCTCCAGTCAGTTATCTCCCAGCCTGTAATGGTGCATGGGTTTATTCTATCCCAAAAGCAGGACTTTGCATGTATCTACACTTAACTTCATGACATCCCTTTCAGCCTATTTTTAAATCCTGCCAATTTTTAAATCCTCCTTTGAATAGGAGCCCTGCAACTTGTGTGGAATTTTGTTGACTTTAGATACACAGTTCTTTTGTATTTAACAATCACATAATTAAGATGATGAGTTTTACCACTTCATTTTATGTTTGACTAATTAAAGATGGAATCATTGATAGAAAGGTAAGAAAATTAAATCAATAAACCAGTGACTTTCAGTGAGTAATTTCTGAAACTAAGTATAGCGAGCAATTCAAAACTAATAATGGGGTGGACACTAAAATTAGTTGCTTTGTATAAATTTATGGGGTGGAGCACCAAAAGAATAGTTCCGCCCCCCAGTCTGTGGCTCCAGTGAGGTTCTCTCCAGGATGATATGTTTTTACATGTGATGATGGACTCAGGTGTCCCTAAAGCACAAATGTGTGTAGCGCTCAGGATGTAATCATCAGTGGGCGTTTTCCTACTCAAGCATGTACCTCCTGTTGATTTTCAATTTTTTAATTTTATTTTTACAAAATTAAAGATACAATTTTCATACATTAATACATTTTTCAGCATTATTTTCCCTTTTGTTATTGCTTCATTTCTTAGGACCTGTAATTCTTGATATCTGGTTGGAATTTCCAGTGTTTCAACTTGCATCATTTGTCTCTAATTCTGTCACTGTGCACATCTGAGAAGGATCTAGTTCCATCTTCTCGGTACCCTCCCATTAGGTAGCCAAATGGAGCAGTAAGAGCTCTCCTTAGCCTAAAATAGCTCAGTTTAGAATGTCTGGCTGTTAATTCAGCTTTCACTGACAATGTTGTTATTTTTACAACTTGAAAATCTTCTGAGGATGTGCTGTCACTCTCAGCAGTTACGCAAGGTTTCTACTCCAAGTTTTGAAAGGGAGTCTTACATAGGTGTAGTCACAAATCAGGAAACTGAAAAACAGAGCTAAATAAAACATAGCTCCTTCTTCCCTTGCTCCTTCCCTTTCCTCTTCTAATACAGTAAACAGAAAAGAGTGCTTTGAAGATGGTCACTTTCCCTTTTATCCAGTGTTCCTACTGCTACAGCTATGAAGTGATGATGCTGTATTAGACAAAAAGATATTTCAAGTAACTTCGTAAATAGGCTACCAGAAGAATAGCATTACAAATCCACTACAAGAATAAGCTGGAGAAGCAAGATAAAAGCCTACAAAAGTGCTTTTAGTAGCAGAAATGACAGCTGAACACCTTAACTACCATGTTAGAAGAAAAAAGTTGAATGCAGCATATTTTAGTTCCTTGCTAAGAGAATTTATTCTTTACAAATACTTTCAAACTAAAATAAAGCTTTAAATACGGCCATTAAGTTAGGCTTTTCAGTGTGCCATGTCATA